CAAATTATTTTTGTTGCTACAGACAAATGACAAGAAGACATCTTCTGGTTGGATCCTCTGTAGGGGTTTTGGATTTGGAAAAATGGAAAATGGCAAGAAACAGTTAGCAATAATAGCCCAAAATATCTCCAGTGGACCAGATTGTCCATTCTTGTCTCCCTGGTTCCTGATTATTGTGTTCAAGACTGGTGAGTAAATTTTGTTCCATGTTGACTGTACATCAACTTCCTCACTTTTATGTGCATACAGAGGCTGCTGTATTACTGTAAAGATGCAAAGCACATTACTTGACACCTCAACTTTGTTGTGACCCAGATCATATATGCAGATGCAGCTACCAATTAAGTCTTCTATCCCCTCCAGGGATTTGGCAAAACTCTATTCCACTCCCCCCCCCACAACAAAATAACCACCTACAGCCAACGTAACCCAGTCCCACCAGTTGGATCCACTAGTCACCAGAACCAAGCCTCCAAACACTAAGAAAGTCCACAAACCAGTTGCAAAGTTTGCCAAACAAAGTCCATAAGACACAATCCAGAAACAGGGTTTGCAAAGTATGGTATGCAAATCCAAAGGCTGAAAGATGCCAAAGTCCATTGAGTCAAGGTTTCTAAAAGTCAGGGAAGTGCAAGCTGAGGCAAACAGAACAGAAAATGCAATTTCTCTGGCCTCTGGTTAAATCACCCCAAGCCAGATGTTCCTTGTGAGGAGAGGTGAGGCAGCCTTGTAGACCTCCTCTGAGCTTCCCCTTTCCCCATGGATTGAGGGGGGGGGCAGCTGTTTCTCATCAGAGGAGATCTGTTGTCTCTCATCACCACTGCCCATCTGCAGCCAATCCTCCCCTGTGTTTGTGAAGGCAAGCAGCTCCCTGCCCAGTTGGCCACTTATCCCAATGCCGGAGGGGCCTGGGACAGCACTGTCCTCAGTCCCTGGACTCTGCATGTTCCAGGGGAGACATGCCATCCCTGCCAGATGGTCCTGATTCCGACTCTAACTCCGAACCAGGATCTGATGGGGCCATAACATACCCCTGTCCCAGGGGTGAAATTCAGCAGGTTCTGGAGAACCGGTAGCAGAAATTTTAAGTAGTTCGGAGAAGTGGCAAATACACCTCTGGCTGGCCCCTGAGTGGGGTGGTAATGAAGATTTTGCAGTATCCTTCCCCTGCCATGTCCACCAAGCCATGGCCACAGAACCAATAATACAAAATTTTGAATTTCCCCACATTTTTGGTCAGTAGAACACACTGTACGTACCAGTGGTGGGTTCCGGATCCCGTTGCAACCAGTACGGGCCCAGGCGCCCACCATGTGCATGTGCACAGCACCCGCGCAGTGTGCGTATGCGTACCCACTGCCTGTGATGCTCCAGCTGCTCGGCGGAGCATTGTGCAGGCGCCATATGCTCTGTGCACATGCACGAATGCACCGATTGTCTTAAATAATAAGGAGAGTGGGAAGGTGGTGGGCCCTCCAGAGCACCATACCAGAATGGTACCTGGTGCTCCCACCAGGCACCAGTATGCCCATACTGCGGTGTACTGGTTGTATTCCACCACTGGTACATACTGTTAGGTAAACTCCCCATTAGGAGAACGAGTATGTGCAGAGAAGCGTAGTGAGAGTGGTGTAGAAGAACACATAAACCAACATACGGAGACACTGAATTGTAAAACAGATAGTGTTGTACTTCTGTGGAAATAAAGATATGCAAGAGTCCAATTCATACACGGTTAAGACAGTCAGTCATCAACGTTCTCAGTTAAGGGGTGATCCAACAAATACAGTCCAGAATCATATAAACAGTTCAATACACAAAAGTCGCTAACAGTTGCAAAACTCACAGTAATTCACACTGAGCAATACATGACACATCTACAACCATCATCCAACAATCAGCATCTAACAATCAGAATCTAACAGTCATTCTGGCTCCATCTTATGGCTCCTTGAGGAAACAGCAACCAATCACATTTACAGCAAAGATACAGTATTACTATCACGGTTATATATTGCCAACCCAACTGTTAGATTACATTCCTAACACATACTTATGCACCTCATTTCTTCTTTTCTCCACAACAATCCAGTGAAATGGGCTGGGCTAGAGAGAATAATTGGCCCAAATTTCATAGCCATCTATTCTGTGTAAGGAAGGAGTAGAGCTCACATTATCCCAGTTTCTGGCCAAACACCTTATCCACTATATTAAATTGGAGTGTGTGTTGTAGTTGGTCAGGTATATTTGGAAAGCACTAGATCGCAAAGGCTGTTGTAGAATACAGTGTGTAATAGGCTCATATGCGGCATCGTGGCCTCGGGATTAAGACAATGGGCTTGTCAACCAAGTAGTTGGCAGTTCGAGACTCAAGCCACACATACGGTGAGTTCCCATTCTTGCCCCAGTTCCTTCCGACCTAGTAGCTTGAAAGCATGCAAATGCAAGATAAAATGCCATATCCTAGAGTTGGACACAACTGGGCAGGGGAAACCTTTACCTTTACCATCTTTTAGTAGGCTCATACAGGCAGTCCCCATAATTGGGGCCATTGCAATGTCTCTGCAGTCATGTCAATGTGTTTTAGGCATTTGCCCAATAAATGTAACAGAATGTATACCTAGAGAAAGAGTGGGAGGAAACCCCCAAGAGGACACCTAGGGAGAAGGCAGTAAATTCCAGAGAAAAGCCCAAATTAAGAGACTGCAGAGTCCTGAGTTGGATAAGGAAGCAGAATTTCTCGAAGATGCATCTCTTAGGTTGGAAGGCTGCAACTCTGGTCTGACAAGATTATAAGGTATAAGGAAATGAAGAATTGGAGTCAGTTGGATTTCATTGAGTTGTCTTTGGGTTTGGGCATGGCCTTGTAGAAAGTTAGCACCCACCCCTCTCTTAGAAAAATGAAATATTTTAGGAAATATTAAAAGGGCAAAATATTTCCCCAAAAGGGAGGCAGAAACTCAGCCCCCCCTACATTTGTCAATGGGCCAGTCTATTCTACATCACAAGGCAGAGCCATAACAGGAATCCCTAAGCCCTTTCATTACATCATCACCCAGCAAGGCTCAACCAAACTTGAGACTGAATGGCCCCATGAAGTGTGACAACCAATCAGAAAACAAGCTCAAATTCAAATCCCAGCAGAGGGTATAAATCTCTCTCTCTCTCTCTCTCTCTCTCTCTCCCTCTCTCTCCCTCCCTCCC